CGTCCTCCGCGCCTTCCTTTTTCCCCCTTCTCCCCAACCACCAGTCCGCTGGTCTCCCAGAAGCGATGCGGTGAACGGGCGGAAATTTGTTCAAAGGCGTCATACGCTTTTTTGTCTGGTGAATCAAGCGAAGAACGATGCATGCCACGCCCCTTCTTAAGGTTACGGATAGATCGGCAGGGACCCCGCCCTCCCGCTTAGGCTTCTTTCAGCTTCATTGACCTTGCACGCCACATCTAGAGAGGGGGACCTGGCGAGTAAGATGGATCGTGAATGGGTGGAAAGGTTTGGTAATCAAAAATGGCCAGATATCCTCAGGTGTGATGGGGAGTTGAGGCCTGAAGCCGAAGGAATCTCAGCAGGACGTGGGTTCTGCGTGCGAGAGTCGAGCCAACGGTGGCCCCACCCTCATTCTTTTTTTCTCTCCTCGAGCTGTTTCAGGCATGATGGAGAGATAATAAGTTCCACAAAGACTCTCCAAAGAACGTACTATGACCAAAGTGAATAGAGATAATAGAGGGAAGCGAACCACGGTCGGACGGTCCGTGAAGACGCCACCACACGTTCTTAGTCACGGGGTTTTCAGTCTATCACTGTGGCGGATGAACTACGGAAATTCTAGCCAATGCGACCTCCGGCTGACCCACAGTCCAGGCACCACGGGGACAGGGGTGGACCGGCTTGGTATCAGGTTCCGGCATCGATTGGTAATGTGGACTCAGCCATCAGTCGTTTCGAGGAGTTGACCTTTCGGGGGGCGCTGTGTGGGGAGAGAAGGAAATCTCCGCCCCAGCAGTGAAAGAGGGCCTCTTTTTCCACTAGCTCTCCTATCAAATCAATGTAATTTCGCCAGGCCATGCCGGTAACCCCCACCATCCACCAACACCGAAGGAAATTTGTGCGCCAGAAGCAGCAAGCGGTAGCGTAGACGGACGGAGACGCACCTCGACTTGGAGCCCCCAGCGTGATTTCCGGGTTTCGCTGCTATTCTAGGCTTTTGGGTTATACTTGGTAGCTGGACAAGGGCTCGGCGCTTCGTATTAGCTCCCTCCAATATGCACTTTCGCCATCCATTTTCTTCTTGTTTAGAGCCCGCCGAGGCGGCTGTTCTGCTGCACTCCTCGGGCAGCTGGCGTTCGGTGTCGTCTTGGCCCTCGCCGAGGAAATGTCCTTGGCAAGTTTCGAAGCAGAGAATGTGGCTCCTCTGGCTCAGGTCACGCAAAAGAGACCCCTCCCTGGAGCCTAAAAGTCCGTTCACGGCGAGGAGATGCAGTGCGTGCTGCGAGGATGTGGACAGGGGCAGACGGCCAAGGAAATCAAGCCTTTGCCAACCTTCTCTCTCCTTGTTCAGTGTCCTTGGCTCCCACAACTCCCATCTGAAGCCATCCCACCCCCATCTCACTACCACCCCCTTCCCGTCACAGGCGGCTGGGCGACCGAGGAACCGAGCAGTGTAAATGAGCAAGGCTGGCGGCTTCATTTTGGATCGGAAGCAGCGACTGAGAAAGTTGGAAATCCTTAGGATGCAGGAGCAGAGGGTGTGCCTGCCTGGTTGGTTGGGGCTAGCTTTGCGGAGATAATCGGTTATGGTTGTGTGTAATCTCGTTTTAACCGCTACCAGACGACTACCCTCCAAGAAGAATAGAATTTGTTCGCCGGCAGGATAAGGTCGCATCCTCCCAGCCCTAGGTCAGAGCATGATTTCCACTGGAAGCTGCCCTTGTTTGTACTACTTGGTAATTTTCGCCCTTGGCATACACCAAATCTCAACTGCCCCGTTGTGAAAACCGTCGAGTTTACGGTGGGTGGGTCAATTCTCAGTAGCGGGCGGTGGGAGGCCTAGCGCGGATGAGGTCCGTACTACGTACGACACAACTCTCCGTCCAAACAGGGGGCAAGGAGCGTCGACAGGGGTAGCCTCGCAGGGCACCGAAGTACCTCGGCCTCGCTCCCGTGGCCTTGTAATGACAGACTGCCTACAGCATAGGCCTGCTTGACCAGCAGTCTCCCGCGTGGCGTCTGGTTCCCCAGGCTCAATTGAATTTGATCCGTACTGGACTGAAGTGTCAACACTGATGCTGGCTCAGAGTCGCTCCCTTCCGCGTCTGTGACGCAACTTACCCCATGATTCTCGAAATATCTTGCCCTTTCGAGAAAGCTCAACCCGGGAATTTTAAACTTCTTATCGTGCGGCCGATCGAACGATTGGATGGGATGTATCACGTTAATCCAGAGCCTGGTCAGAAATCTGCTGAGGAGAAAAAAGTTCGATAAGAACTTGACAAAAAAAAAAAAGAAAAATTCCAATCGAATCGAGGGGGCAGATGTTCCTTGCGGCTAAGCGCAGCGCCGATCCATCGATACCCCTCGAGATCAACCATCTTTGTGACCATCGGGGCAGCTGGAACCCCCGTTCATGGATCGCTCTGGCTCTCCCAGCTCTTCCAACAAGCACGGCACATACCGCCCGATCGGTCGTGGCTCTTTGAGAATTTCCCGCGAACGACGACGCAAGAAGGGGATCTCGCTTCGGGATTTCATCTGCTGCTCTTGGGCTTTGCTCTCCTTCTGCAATGCGGCCTCGCCTTCCGCCAAGTCATGGCTGAGCACGCACAAGGTGTACCGCGATGCGACACTGCACTAGCACCTTGACTCACGACTCACAGCGCCGGCGGAGGTTCGAACTGGCCTGATACATTGATCAATTTGATGAAATGATAGATCTATTATTGCCTTTCATCATCCATCAAAGCAGGCAGCGATGGGTCCACGGCACACTTGGCCCAGTCCCAGTGCCCAGGTGGCTGGCGGGGTCTGCAAGCCCAAGTAAGCTTGTGTGTTAGCGCCAGTGTATTCCCTGGAAACCGCCGCTGGCATCACATCACCTTTGGGGGCGTCCTGCATTGCTCAGGCCAACGGCGTCAGCGTCAGCGCTGGGCATGATGCCAACCGACCGATCAATTTCATCACGCAGAACCAGAAGGCAATCCGAAGAACAAGAAAGCAGCAAGCAACCGGGCCTAAGGCGGCGCGCCTAATGGGTCCCCCACCGTTTCCACCTGCCCTGAGAAGAGAACTTGAACAACCTGAGGCGTGCCAATAAGCGAAAGGGGAGAGATACCTTGTCATCAAGGGAGAAATCTTTTTGAAAAAGTGGGAATTTGTAGCGCAAAGTACCCTTTGTAGCGTCCCCTCTGCATAGTGAGGAATTGGAAGGCGCGAAGTCGCGAAGCCGTGCCTGACAATCACTGTACCTTACACCATTGCCGCTTTTACTTGTCCCTCATATTATTGCCCCCTTCCCTTCCGGATATGTCCCATGGTGCCTGGCTCGATACCCACCCATTCCATACACCCCCGTCCAGGGAGGGGTGGCGTGCATATTTGAGCACACGCCCCCTCCTCCGCCCACCTTTTCCACCTCCTAGTCACTTTTTTAGACTCTGCTCAGATGCCCATCCAGTTCCTCCGTTCAAGGGAGTTGAGCTCTTTGATCAATTGGCTTCCATTTTTTTGTGCCAAAGGCATTGATGGAAGACAGGTCAAGTCAAATTGGGACCTAGGAATGTCCAAGCCAAACTGGCGCCGTGGTGGATCATGGGAATCCTCAATCCTCCTCTGGCTGTCCTGGACCTTTTTCTTCGCTCCACTTCAAAGCCGGAACGTCGCAGCTCTACAAACATTGGAGTCTTTCGAATACGAGTTTGGGCGTTCGCTCAAACAGACCAAAAGAAAGCTTTCCCTTGTACCTTTCCCCCGAGGAAGCTGGCTGAAGCCATGACCTCCCCCTGTCCCTTAACGCCAGTCAAGTCGTGCCTCAAGGCTACATCGTTGTATTCGAGGATGCCCCAGTCTCACATTGAGTCGGGAAACAGCCCAAACAAAGATTTCTACCGCTGAAAGCCCGGTTCCACGCTGGTTCATTACGTCTCTGAAAGGGTGGGGAAAACGGTGGGAAAAGGTAGCAGGGAAAAACAGAGAGAGTGGGAAAGAGAGAAAAAAACCTCTCGTTTGTTACAGGCCCCCCATCTCACCTATGAATTAACACCCAGTTGGTTTAATATACGCTTTTCCTCGTCAGGCAAGCCCCAATCACGGCTAGGTACTCTTCTACCTACATGGGTGGCCCGTGATTTCGTTTTCCATATTGTTTCGACGTCAATTCCCGGGCCTTTTCTCCTTCAGTTTAAACATCGACTTGCCGTGCGTCCGCTTCCAAGGCCTTTCCTCTCGTCACGTTTTCAGGGATACGCTCGTTGGATTCTGTTCTATCCCGCCCCTTTCCACTTATAATACCTCTCTCCCGAGCGAGTGGCGAGAAGGTGAAGCCTCAGATCAACATCACACACCCTCCCCAAAAGCCAAGAAAGAGCAGAACCTTTTGGAGCCCCAGTCTGTAATCCTGAAATCACTCATCTCTGCTTGTCCTGTTTTCCCTTCTTCCCCTAATACCCACCCGCAGGCAAGACTTCTGCCTACTTGTAGCTTTGCTATCCACTACTCCTCCCAACTGCATACTCGCCTTCTCCTTCCTTCTTCCTAATTCACGCCTCGATTCAAACAACACACTCCCCCTCCTCAAACGCCCCCTTCTCCCTCTCCTCCTCCTCCTCGTTCACATTGCTCTTCGCCAGGCTCAGCTACGGACCTCTCTTGTGGGGTGAGCATAACCGAGAACCTGGAGGCCCCATCACACGGTCTTTCCTCATACACCTGAGATCTAGCCTAGCAGCTAGAAGCAACGGACATAGAACATGCAAGCTCAGCAACTGAGGCCGCATCTGCCGTGGAGAACAATAAACTCTGCAGATGGTCAACCCGGACAGTCGACCCACCGCCACTTACAACCAGAAAACTCTACCCCTTCACAAGAAGCCTTGTCATCTCCTGGACCCGGTTTACTTATAAAGACCGAGGAGACCTTCACTCCCTCCTCCTCTTCCTTGACCAACCAGGATAGCACCAGCCCAAGCTCCGGCACATCCACCGAAGAAGACATCATGGACACCTACAGAGACTCACAAGCTTCCTCCTCCTCATCCACTCTCTCCCTAACCTCGGACTCGCCCTTGACGACTCCAGGCTCCGGGTCTGAGAATGGTGAGGGCGTCGGTGCTTTCTTCGACAGCAACAACATCCCTTTCAACGCTGACCCCAAGCGCTACATTCTTGTGATTGGTGGCCTAGGCTTCATCGGATCTCACACAGCACTGGAGCTCCTCCGCAACGGATACAATGTCATCATCGTCGACAATCTCAGCAACAGTTATCTTGATGTCCTCTTCAACATCAAGAAGCTCGCGGCCAAGGACTGCATCGCTAAAGGACGCGTGATGCCCGCGGTGCGCTTCCACAAGCTCGACTACCAGAGCAGGGACATGCAGTGCCTGCTCGACAGCTACTCGGAGCCCGTCCCCAACCCCGCCCCGGCCGAAGGTGGCCGACAGCGTCTGACATATAGGTCTCAAATCGTGGGCGTCATCCATTTCGCTGCCTACAAATCGGTGTCGGAATCTATCGTCAACCCCTGGACTACTACGAGAACAACGTCTGCGGCCTGGTACGGCTGCTCCGCCAGCTGGCCAAGTACAACATCCGCAACTTTGTCTTTTCCTCGTCGGCGACAGTCTACGGCACCAAGGCCAACGCCGGCAAGCTTCTCCGCGAGGAGGACATTGTTCACCACGAAGAAACATTCGTGGATGAGCATGGCAAAGAAGTCAAGGCAGAACCCACCATGGTAGGCCTCACCTGCCCATACGCGCGTACAAAGTATTTTGCCGAGGCGATCCTTGCCGATGTCGCGGCATCGGATCCTGACTGGCGCATTGTCACTCTTCGATACTTTAACCCCGTCGGTTGTGACCCGTCGGGCCTTATTGGCGAATCCCCACGCCAAACACCCACCAATTTGTTCCCAGTCATCGCTCAGGTGCTCACTGGGGACCGGGAACGCCTCGACATATTCGGCAGCGACTGGAACACATCAGACGGCACGCCTGTGCGAGACTTTATCCACGTAAGCGACATCGCCAGAGGCCACATTGCAGCGCTGGACAAGGCATGCGACGTACCTTTCCGCACCTACAACCTCGGCTCCGGCACAGGCACCACGGTCCACGAGGCTGTCAAGAGCCTGGAAGCTGCCTCTGGCAAGGCCATCAACGTCAACTGGACCGGCCGCCGCGCCGGTGACGTCGGTTTCTGCGTTGCCTCGAACGAGAGGGCAACCAAGGAGCTAGGCTGGTCGCCGCGTGAGAGCATCCCCAAGTGCGCGCAGGATCTATGGAACTACGTGAGGCGACTACAAACCACGGAAACCAAGAAATAAGGGAGGGGTGGTGGGGCGTGGTGCAAGCAAATGCATGCTACACAATCCGCCCTCCCTCCTGTCTCTTTTTCTTTTTGTCCCGATTTTACACTTGGATTTTTCAGCCACTCACAATGATACCACTCCTGCACACACACGGGCCTTCCAGTTTCCCACCCTCTCCCCACATACGCACACGCAAACAGACACAACCACATAAACACGCCAAACAGTGACACGCATAACACATATACACACAACAAGCATACACCAACACGCATGTACCGTCCAAACATAGGTGTGCACATCCGCCATTCTTGCACACCACCCTCAGCTTGTCTGTCGTTCATTCATGGGGAGGTCGCAACGGCTTTTTCCTCCCTCCTCCCCACGCACCGTCTCCGCCACCCTCCTTCAGACGGATATTATTCCTTTTCTTTTTTTTTTTACCCTACGTTCTTTCTTCTTCAAGAGATGGAAAGCTAATGCAAAGCTTGTGTGACGTCATTTAAAAATACGGGCTGAATTTGGATATCAAGCTAAAGTTGTGTTTTTTGGTTCTTTCTGTCTTTTAAAATATTGTTTTCTCAGCTTCTATTTCCTTTGTTCACTTGTGTGGTAGCATATCTCGGGCAAGGCAAAGTAACGGGTCATCACAACCTCGACTCCTTTTTTTCTCCTCATTTAATTGTTCCTTTTTTTTTTATACTGGGCTCATAAAGAAAGACTAATTCATTTCGATTCGCGTCCGTCTTTCCTGTACTTGGATCCTGCATTTTGATCTTCCCTTACAGGCGCGTATTATTTCTAGAATACTATTTTTTGTTTCCATTGTCTTCAATGTTCTTTCCATCATCTCGATCTTGCTCGGACGGCATAGCGTGGTCTCGGCTACTCCTCTCACGCACCACGCACGTTGAGGGATTAGAAAAATTTAATATAGTAGATTTTTAAGAATTTGTGGAGTTTCAATGTTCTTTTGTGAGAACGGCTTCCGTTGTGGCGGAGAAAACAGGCCTTCTCTGCAGGCAGTAAATGACGACGAGAAGAGAAAGAAAGAGTTCTACCGAAGAGGTGCGTCGAGAATCCGAACGTTCCCCTCCCACGGTTCTCCACCTTCCCCGCTCCGAAGTCTTCTCTCGTGCTTCTTTTTAATAACCTTTGCCGCTGCCAAACAGGTTCCCAATCCCGGACGGTGTGTGCCCGCGCGTTCTTGACGCGGAGAGGTAGCGGCTGTCGAAACCTAGTGTCTATATCGAAGAGAAAGAATTGGCTCGCGGGAAGCCGGTTCAAGCTGCAGGGGACAGGCAGGGTGAACAATACATTTATGGACGTCAACGGAATGGCTCTTTTGGTTCCAGGCGTTTAAGCCCGTGCTGTTACGTGAATGGGCAAAAGTTCTGGTATTGAGAAGGTTGGGGGCCAAGAGCTGGCAAGCTCTCTTTTCTTTCGCGGGGGACAAGGCGTGGCAGCAAAAGAAAGGTGCGGAGAGTACCAGGTTAATTGAGTCGAGAGTAACAGCCTGATAGCTCGAATATCCACTTTCTCTCGGCGCACACGGACAACCTCTGATCCATCGCTGAAGAATCGATTGGTCGTCAGGTCCGTCTTTGGAGATGGCGACGCGTCGATCAGTGCTATGCCGCGATGGGCCCTTTTTACATGTTACGTGGGGTAAGTGGAATATATAGATCTATGGATGTTGCAAAAGCACAGAATATTAAGGGCAGTGGGATGTACTGTCTGCGCCGCCGGGTGGAAAGGAAATATAATAAAGGAAAAAAAAAAAAAAAAAGAAAAAAAAAAGGCTGAGGTCGCGGGCGGAGAAGAATATTCTCCGCCAAAGCCGCCGGTTGGTGATGATTTTCTTTGGAGATATTATCCCCAATTCTTTTGCACCATGGGCCTGCTTGGCACTATCCGCCCTGTACAGATTCTTGAATCGATTTGTTCTCTTCCGAGAGTATTTTTCTTTGGGCATGAACTGCTTTGTTCCTACATACCGAGCCGCATGTTGCCCTGGGGCCCTAAAGCTTTATGAAGGAATGGCAAAAGAAGATTTTTTTTAAAAAAATACCATGACATTGACGAGGTTATACAAATTAAATTCACTGGACGGTGGCAAGAGGAACACATGTCGTATCGGGCTTGTAATATACTGTACGCTTTTGCTTTGGATATAAAATATAATGTTACGACTATCACGGCTACAAGGTTGTTGATCACGACACAATACATTGACAGTGGCCATTCCCAAGCTGTTCCGAAAGGGAATATTCGCCATGTAAGTCAGGAAGTGGCCAAATTATGTAGATACTTGAAGGAAGAAAAAAAGAAAGAAAAAAGGGTAAAGACGCCCCCTCCTTCTTTCAAAGAGTCGATCGGTTCATGCGCACCTGTCATCGAATCGGGAAGAAATTCCAGGTGTGCTCGCACAAGACTCGGGGCACGCAGATCTCATTGGTCTCTCTTCCCATCCTCGACGGGAGGGGCGCGATGTTGGTTTTTTGATGGTGGTGAGGATGCGCAGCCAAAAGGTGGTGATGGTGGAGTGAGGGGTGAGGATCAAAATGCTTTTTCCAATATGGATGAATAGCTCTGGGTCCATCTTCCAATCTGTGTCCCGTTCTCTGTTATTAGATACATGTTGCACAAGCAAAGCTTGGCGGACCCTGATGTATCAATGATCTTGGCATCCGGGTTGTCTTACGTGGACGATCATCGAGGGTAGCACACAAGGAGGGGAAGGGGTTTTCCCTTCCAATGGGCCTTTTTTTTCTCTTTCTTTCTCTTTGGTTGTTTCTTTTTCTTCTTCTTCTTCTTTCTTCTCTCTTACGTTCCTTTCTTCCTTCTCGGCTTCCGGTCCTATCCAAGACGAGGGAAATGGAGTCGATGCGAAATTTCCCCCTTTTTCTTACTCGTATCCTTTTTGTTCCTTCTTGCTCACTCTCCACTATGATGCCGCAGTCGACGTTGTCGGACTTTGGCCGGCGTCTTCAATGGCAGGCAGCACTTCCCACGTCTTACGCTCAAAAGTCTTACACGCGGGACACTCCCCACCCCGCGCGCCAAGGCTAAGGAACCGGCCTCCTTTGGCACGCTCGACCCGGGAGCACGGTAAGTTCCACCGAACAAATGCGTGGGTTGGCCTCCGCCGGACAAGTACACACACCTTTACGATTCTTTCGCCATCCAATCCTTCGTTTTCCAATTCTTGATCTTGGAGTAAATAAGGACAGGCCTAAACACCGCCCACCCCCGCCCCACTCACCGTTTTTGTTCGCTTTCTTTTTTGGGTTCTTTTTCTTTCTCCCCCTTGATGAAAAAAGCAAAATGTCCCGTCATTGATAATTAAGTTGGTGATGTTGGATGTTTGAATGGGAGCCTCGCATCGGGGGTGGAGTCCACATTAACGGCTTCATCAAGCGGCCCCCGTCTTACTTGCTTGACTGCCTTGTGGCCCAATCCTTCATCGGCACGTCACGTCAAGTCCTGACTCAAGACTTAGATTTTCTACGATAATACTCGTCTTCTTCATTTTTCTCTAAGTGCCCGCTCGCCCCACTAACATGAGGGCCAGCCTGCCATTCAGTTAATATGGAGAATCCTATTCGGGGTCATTCCGAGTCTTCCATGCGTCGAGTCTTTCGAGGTCAAAGGCCCGATGAGAGTCCCAACGTCACAGTAGGTAACAGCGGCAGGCTTGCTGACTCGAGCCACCCTTTTTCCTTTTTCTTTTTCTTTTTCTTTTTTTTCTCCTTCAGCGTCATCAGTGTTACTTCGGCCTCTGCTCTGTCCCATCAGCACTTGGATTGCCGGCATTCGAACAGCCCTGTTCAAGGCCTCTAGTCTTGTTTGGATCCACACCCGAACAATCATGCCCACTTCATGCCGTGAGAAGGATTGAGGAAATTTTGAAATTTTTCACCCTCTTGCCAGCGCCGGCATTGGTAATGCTCCACGCCGACTGCTTGGACGGCTTCCTTCCACGATGATGACGAGGGAGTGGGGAGACTGGTGGGCCTTGTGGATGTACCAACGCAATGCTCCCCTTGGCACTCGTTCTTTGACCCAGTCTCTGGCTGGCTCTGATCAAGAAGGTGAAGGAGCGATTGAGCGGTATCCCCCCTTTCCTCTTTTTTGCCTCCCATTCCGCTCAGCCGCCTCCCCATTTTTTGGTCTTCCTGCGCGGTCCCTTTTTTGGCACCAACGTCAAATTACTTGTCGTTGTGAACCCGGAGTTTTTCTTACTCTTCTTTTCCGCCCTCCTTCTTTCCCTGCTCCCCATGCCTTTTGGTTTGCTTTGCGAACAGGTCTTGTTCTCGATGTTACTCTGATCCACCATGTTCAGGGACTTTGACACTGGGACTGTGATAGGAAGCCAACCTTCGCTGGATGGGTGGTAATTCGGAGGCTGCCCCCAGCCGAATTAGGGTCGTTTGCCCTTGTTCCCGACAGGCCCGCTGCCTTGGTTTGACATGTTGATAATAGCAATCCCAGGCTCACTGTCCAAGCCACACCGAAATATCGCATAAGGAGCACCTACCTGGGTAGACCTGGAGCAAATCTCGATCGTCCACTCTTATTCCCTGAGTACTTGTACAAGTCAGATATCAGGTTCAATGTTGAGAGTGGAAATGGCGATGCCCTGCGCCTGCCTGCTGTGACTCGTGAGTGAAGAGCTGGACCTTGACAAAAGCCCCGAACCAGCCAATGCGACTGCCTCGTCTGAAATTGCGAACCCATGTCCCCCGTCCCCCGTCTCCCATCCCGCATCGCCAACGACGCCCGACCACCTTTTTGGTGATAGAGTGCGACGCTGCAATGTCAGCGGAATGTGCTCTCCGTCGTGGGCAGTTCTTAACCCGCCGGTGCACCGTGCAGTGGTATTTTCTCAGTGCACGAACTATTCAATACCGGACTTTCTTGGCTCTCCGAATGCTTGAGGGTTCTCAGTGCCGTCTAGAAAGTTGATTCCTTTCGGGTCGTTCTTTTGCTTTGTCATGCGGTCGAATCGGCGT